CAGCAGGATGAAAAATGTTCTTGTCTTAGTCCCCATAAGACCCCGTGACCTCATAAGAGAGTCCAGAAACTCTTAATTTCCATGATCTTTGATCCTAGATGAACTCTGGGAACTGACTGGGCTCTGCATTGGTAGGTGTAGGTAGAGCAAATTTCTGTTGTTCCAGAAATTTCCATATGCATGCCATTTTCTCAAAGAAATAAAGAAAGGTATTTCTTCAAGCTTGTTCTTGCTCAGTTCTGTTGCAAGAATTTTGGATTGAAAGAGTAGCTTAACCGCCTAGGGTAGTTTCTAGAGGTCTGGCACTTCAGTGCCAGGTGACGAGGCTTCTTGGCCAGTAATTTGCAGCCTTAGCAAAGCCTAGAAAAAACAGCTAATTTTCTTTAGCAATCAAGTTTTTGTCACTTTTTCTTCCTCTAGTACATACAGATTAAAAACTACAGGAATTCTCTTTAAGGCTGCTCTCTCTGATGGCTGAGACTAGCATACAGTGATAATAGTTCTTTCTCTTCATTGCTCAACTAATAAAGTGGACATTTTTGTTTTTGTTGTAGTCCATAACGGTTTGTTATGGCTCAGAGAGCGATCACTGACCGAGGACCTTTGCTTTGTTTGCCAAGGACCTAGCTGATGATCAGACAAGGTGAGCTGATTTAAACTGTCTTTGATCTCAGTATCAGCTGCATTGTTTGGAGTGGCTGTGACCTAGGGTGTTTTGGGTGGACAACTAAGGAGGCAAATTCTCCACTTTTGCATCTGTTAGAATGTGTTTATTGAAATCTTCCCTCAGAGTGCTGACTAAGTATTGCTGGGCTTCTGTATGAAACCTTTAATTTGTAGTAGTCTTAAGAGTCTGGAAAATAAAACCAAACTTATTTTAGGCTGTATTTTTCTTTGTTAGATGAACAGTTTGCTGAACCTGAACTACCTGTGTTGGGTTTGCAGTTTGATGAGAAAGGTGAGCTTAGTGCCAGGTGCCTTCATGTAGTCTGAGAGCGCTACCCACATGGCTGGAGTTAACGATCTCCTCTCCAGGCTTTGGGGACACTGGGGACTTCGTAGACCAAGTGCAGGGGCAGCTTACTGCTGCTAGCTTCCACTCCAGTTTCTGTCATGGCCATCCTGTCTGTTCCCTGTGCACTTAAGGTTATGGTCGTGCGGAGTATGATTTCAGATGGGGAATCTGGCTTGTCATGTCCACTTTTCTGTTTTCATGGTCAGTTCATCTGAAGCCAGGAGGAGCTTGTGCTGACAGCATGGTAGTGTGTGGCAGAGACTATAATCTGCATAGAACAATGTGAAGCCTATTATGCTTAAAAGGGAATTATTATGCTCAAGGGTAAAGTTATGGTGAAACATTTCTTTGAGAAAACCAGAGTTGAGGGAAAACACTGTATAACCTGACTGAACCTGTAGCAGAAGCCACCTGGTTTTCATTTTGCTGGGTCAGCACTATGTTAGATCATAAAGGTTTAATCATTTTTGACGTTTCAGTGCATTTATATTAGATTGCGGATGTTGAATTTCTTCATAAGCGGATCTTCTCTCCATTAAGTAAATTATCGGAAAATATTTTGTAGTATAGCTTAAGAAAAAATTTTCAGGTTATGGACTGGTAGCAATTGCTGGCCTTTTAAAAACATTACTGGTAATGTGTAGCCAGAATATCAGACACAGAACATGAGACACCTTAAAACATTTGTTTATGCTGCTGATTCCTATACTGACAGTCATCTTAAGACACTGATAAAATGAAATCCTTACATTCATATCTTGTTGTAATGTAATGTATACCCACAGTTTTCCTATCTGCTTTGCTTTAATGCTACTCTCTATTGTTTGGTGTTTAGAGAATCAAATGTAAAGTTTGATGCGTAAGTATCAAACAGTTTGATGGAGGGTAATAAAATGAGATCAATTCAGTGAATTGTTATATGTTTTAAGATACAATGGAACAAAAAATCTTGCAAATGCAAAGAAGTTTAAGCATATAAATAGTCCCAAGAGCTTTCCTGAACTGGGTGTCCATAACATTTAAGGAAGTACAGCATTGGGTAGACGAACATTATTTGAAAAAATCAATGCTATTTTAGAACGGATTTGAATAAGATTTCAGATTTTCAAAGAAGCAGGCACATTTTGGAAAGTGCTTGTGCACCAGCAACTCCTGTTTCAAAAATGCTGGTGCTGCTTTCCCCCTCCCCCAATCCTTTAAAGATTTCTTTCCCCCACACCCATTTGAAAAATACTTTGCTTAGTTAGAAAAGGTTTCCCAGGTTTTATTGATGTGTGAACGCATTAGTGTTCCACCTATCAGATTAAACTGCAATTAAAAACAAAAACATGTGCAAAAACTCCTTTTTTGAACCCTCCAGAAGCCTATCTAAAGCCAGCTATCCCTGGCTTGTGGGATAACATTTATTGGTTGCATATTGGTTAATAACTGTTATTTTTGTCCTTGCATTTGAAAGGGAGTATTCAAAGTCGTTGAGAATAAAGTTGTTATACCTGGGTGTATATACCTGGGTGTTGTACTGTTTCGTGGGACGTCTGTCCTTTGTGCAGCAATGTATGATATGCACTAAATAGTCAGAATAAATCAAAGCTGCATGTTTGAGTGGATAATCACCTTAAAACAATTTGTGTCATAGACAGTCTACTTTCAAAAATAAGAAATCCTTTATTTTGATATTCAAAAGAGGAAAATAACTGGGAACTATATGCAAGTACAGTTTTTGTAGTAAATAAATTGCTGTCAGTGTCACTTCTGTGCCCTACTAGTATGCAGGAAGTGATACCAAGCCTCCTAAATGTCTCAGAATCCGTCTTTTTAAATGTATCATAAAGCAAATGTTGATAAACTTGTCATAATTGTTACTTTTCGAAGTAGGACTTTTTGAAGAAAACAAACTTGGTAAGACTTTCTTTTCTGTGATTAAAAGCTCAGTGCAATTCCTGTTTAAAATATTAAAAATAATTAAAAAGTACTGGAAAAATGTTTTGCCAAGCACAGGAAGAGTACTCTACGAAGTGACTGAGAAAACTTGCATGCAGTTGGGGGCACATTTGGTAGAACTGTAGTTTATAGCTAGAAGAGAATGTGCAACAGACAGAGATATTTATTTTGCTTTTAAATTTAGAGAAGTTTAGTTATCTTTCGTAAATGTTTGAAGGGGAGCTGACTTTTCATCAAGAGGAAAGTCATAAACAAACTGACCTAAATAAAGTTAAACGGAACAGTCTTCTTCAATGCACGCTTTTGAAATTTGTCAGCCACTGGATGGGTTTTATTCTGTGGACCAGTTCAAAGCATTTTTTTGTCAGCTGCAGATTACTTTTTTTCCTATGCATTAATCAAACTGCAGACTAGTTCTCTCAGAACCTCTTAAGTACAGTGTATTGCACTATACTAGTTAACAGCTGTTTGTGTGGACATTTTTATTGAATTCATATGTTACTTGATACGAGTACATTTTAGTCCCTGAAGAGGAGAAAAAAAAAGAAAAAAGTCCTGTTTTCATTTAAAAGAAGTGACAACACAGATGAAACAGCATTCTAAGAATATTGTTTGAGGTAAATGGTGACCAAGTCTGTCTAAAAATGTTGTTAAGTAAATAATATTTTCTTGAATTTTCAAGCTAAGAATTGTCTGGACATTGTAAGGAAAGGGGGGTTTGTTCTACAAAGGTTTTCTGTTTAATTGCAGCCTGCAGAAAACAGCCCTCTGGGCAGATTGTCTATTCGGAGAGGTTACGACACAAGATTCGTTTGGGGATTTGTTTAGTCGGTTTGGAGTATAGGCATGGAGATGGCCTGGCCCTATAAAGCCTGTTTGCTGGACTAGTAGCGAGTTGCAAATTCTATCTGAAGAGGATCGTTCGCTGTCGACCTCTGGGATGGGATTTTCCCCCTTCTTTCTTCTGAGAGGGATAGGAAGGAATTTGGTGTGTCTTTTGGAAAAACTTGTAAAATTGTAAATGAAAAGACATTTTACTTTTTTTTTTTTTTTTTTTAAGGAGGTGGGAGGCTGCCTTATCCCAGAGAAATACTACCAAAATCTGTTGTGTCTTGGAAACTTGAAACTTTTCTGTACCATTTTCAAAGGTCAGATTGCTTTAATTCTGTTTTGGGCCTTGTTTGTGTTGTATTTCAGCCAGCGTTTTCCAGCATACAGTAGTGACTTTTTTCCTTTCCCCCCTGTTTTTGCTCAGTATAAACAGTTCCTTGCTGTAGTTACAGAGACAAATATAGCAGAGAACCCTTTTCTGGGAGAAGAGTCTCCCCATGCATTTCTTAACCATTTTTGGGAAGAATTGATCTATCTGTGCATGTGAGAGAGGGAGGCAGTAGCTGTAAATTGAAGTGACATCATATATATTACTCCCATTGATCCGCTTTTAGACTAGAGCCAGGATAAAAGGAAATGGCATCAGGGAGGAAGTATGCTCATTTAGGCACAGATCCCAGTGTGATAATGGAGTAATAATAGAAATCACGCCACTGTCAATCGGTTGCTGCATTAGTCTGAGGCACATTTCCCCTCCGAGGAGGCTTTCAATGACTTCATTCAAGTGCAGGCTGGAGCAAATGGGATATTCAGCATACCAGCTGTACTACTTTAGTGATTTGTGTCCTGACTTAGGGGTGCAGCACGAGCATTGGTGCTCTGGACGCTCAACTGCATATATCTGTGTCACATTTCATGGCTGTGAAAGGTCAGTAGTCAAATGTTTCAGTGTCATTTTTCTAGTATAAAGGGTGAATCTGGCATTTATTGCATTTGTTAATGTAGGTATTGATAAATACTCTCCTTCGTGTGGGTGGTCTTCTGGGATGTGAGGTCGATGACCTCTGTAGCTGCAACACCAGATCTTTTAAGAGACAAGATTTGTTTTCTTTGTGCTTTTTACAGGTTAGAGCTAGGATTCAGAAAATTCATACTTTTGTTCCAAGATTATTTGTAGAAACCCTTTCAAAACTGGTCGTGGCTTGAGATATTCTTGTAACACAGCATAATGCTTTAAGTGTCTTGTATACTGATATGGATAAAATAAACGTATGCTTTTTCTTAATTCCTAGCTGTTTAGTATATATTGAATCTTGGCATGCAGACATTGCCTGGATAACAGGCTCAGTTACGTTTTCATTTTGATTACCTTTTTTTATTTTTTCATCTTGCCTTTTTCCAACACAGAACTAGTCTTGATACTCCATATCTTTTCAAGTTTGTGTCAGAGATAGCAAGCTAATTATTCAAACTTTCAAACCACCGTATCGGTTCACACTTAAGAAGCCAGTGGGCAGATCACTATTTAGTGGAAAAACAAAATAAACTTTTTCAGAAGGCTGAATAGTTGCAAGAGAGGTTGTGCAGTCTTAAGGGCAAGATAAAACAAAGTGCTGAGATACAGCTTTTTAGCGTGGATGTTGTTTAGTTTTATGAGACATGTCAAAAAAACACTGATGTACTTGATCAAAACATTAATTTATTCCCTCTTCACAGTGTCAGTTCTCACAACTGAGGGAAGGGGAACCCTGGGAAAGCAATATGATTGCCGGTTAGGCGGGCATGGGCTGGAACTAGAGTTATCTACCTTACAATATAAATAGATGGCATTGCAGCAATCGTAACCATAATACGAAGTGCTCGATTCACATTGTAAATACTCTTTCTGGATATTAGCTGAATTTCCTCATCTAAGTGATCTGCTTTAATAGTCATATATATTTTTATGCAGCATTCTCTTGTGCAGTTCATAGATTTTTTTTTTATTAGTAGGTTTTTTTTAACAGAAAGACTGAAAAATTGTGTTTAGCATGTTTATGGTTGTTTTCAGGAAGTGTTTTCAACATGGAAATACACATTGACGGGGTGAAATTTATTCTGCCATATTTTGCAATAGCTGTGCTGTGTATTTTTCCTGTCTGTTAGGTATTCAAGATGCATTTACAGAATTTGAATTCTCATAAAAGAAAATATTTTTAAAATTCTTGAAACTGAATTTGTTTTTGTTTTCTGCAGCATTTTTCTTTTGGTAGCACCTGAAAGCAAGGGCCCCTTTGTACTAAGCACAAGCCAAACAAGTGGAAAATTGATAGCATGCATCCCAAACAATTCTCAATGTGAAAGATGAGAACTAACAGGTGGATGGGACAAATAAGGACAGTGATGAGGAAAACGAAAAGTTATTGGTTATTGTCAATTGAATACAATTTTTAGTGTAATTTTATAAAGTTATAAGCAATCTTTAAAGCATTTCTTTGGGGATAGTGTTATTCATACTGCTCTATTTCTGAAAAAGAGAGTAGAAGAATTTTAAACCTTGAAGGAATTTTTGGTAGTTCACGTCTTGAAAATTCTCCTGAGCTTTCTGTGTCTTTGCTCAGATACCTCTCTCTTGGGCAAAGTCTCTTTTATTTACAGGGAAGGGAGAAAATGAAAGAAAATATGTTCCTCCCTGTATTTGTTGTTGGAAGTAAATGAAAGAACAAAATGTTATAGCTATTATAGCTGCGCCCACTAGTGCCACTTTGGTTACAAGTCTGTCAGCATTTCTTCTGCTGGTGCCCCCACCCTCCAGGTCCATGTTCAGTAGCTCTTAACTTGGCCTTTAATTAAACCAGGAGCTGGAAACTAGTATGCAAAGTCTCGTCTCGGGTACCTAGAATGTGGGAAAATAACAGAAGCCATGGTCTCAGATTTTTTTTTTTTCTCTGCGGTCTCAAGTATAAACTGATAGAGTTTAAACTATAATTCTGAAAATTCTTCATCCCATAATGCAGCACTAGACAGAGGTAAATTAAGGACACGGCTGCTGCTTTACTTCTTTGCTTTTGTTGGCTTCAGTTAGATTTCCTAATATTATCTTAAACAATAGCTTTCTGTGGGTGAATTTGTATAACAATTATACTGACAATATATTAGAAAATAACTCTAAGCTATTCTGTACTTTGTCTAGCGTGTATGTATGTATTCCAGCAGTTTCTGCAAATTGAGCATGGCTCTGCTGTCTTTGTAGTTAGCAGTGAAAGCTTTCTAAATAAGAAGTTACCTTTTTGTGTGTGGTGTTCTGCAACTTTTCAAATTTTATTAGCGTTCAGAATGAATTCAGTTTCCAAACACAGCCATTTCCCAGAACCCTTCCCTGTTCTGTTTTTCGAAGTATTCTTCTTCCCTCTGCCCCAAGCAGCTGTTCTTGGAATGTGCAATAAACATTCAAGTTGCCATTTTAGTAGTTGTCCTAAAATTGAAATATTAAATATTTTTAAATGTCTGACTATTTTTAACAACTGCATTTTGTTGGCAGGCTTGGGTAGCACTTAGAAAACGTTGTAGTTAGAGCCAGTAAGACGAAGGGGCTTTTTCAGTACCCAGGTATTTGACTTTAGTAGTATAAAAGAATGCGTTGCAAAGAAAGCAAATCATTAAAATCCTGGAGATCTATTTCCCTCTTTTTTTGTGATTTAGATGCTAATGCTAAATTATGTCAGACTAAGAGGGAAAAAATATCAGATTACTTATTTAGTTAACTGAGAAATCTTCGCAGGTTAAGACATAACACAACATCCTTGATATCTTCCTGAACTTACTGTCAGAGACGAGGTGTGCAGGCTTCAGGTAGATAGTTTGGTCCGTGGAGGCAGCCGCAGCTGTGCTGTCTGCTTGTAAGAGGCCAGTGGAAGAGGTCTTCATTTTGGACCTGATCAGCACATCGAAAAAGTGGAGGGAGGGACATGGGTCACAAGGCAGGAGTCAGGAGTAGAGAGTTTCCAAATGTGATAAAAATTGGAAGTTGTGCTAAAATAACAGGATTTTTTTTTTTCATTAATCTGTCTGGAGAATATTAAAAGTGAGCGATTTTGCTTTCTTTTTGCATGCAAATGCTTAAATTCACATCCTGCCTCCTTCCCTCTTTCTCTTTTGGTGCTCCACGGTGAGGAATAGTGGGGAAAGCTTTTGAGGTGAATAACAAACTTCTGACTGGGTCATTCCGAACCCCGAATTTCCAATGCACATTTCCTTGCAGCTGGTCTAATTTCTCTCTGAGCTCTGTTTGAATTATTTATTTGTTCATATAATAAGCCTATTAAACAGAGCACGTAAGCACTTGCTACATCAGACTTATGCTTTTTCTTTTCAGGTTACATTAAGTTCAACTTGAAAATGTTAGGTTTTGGAGTCACAGCAACTGACTACTAAATATATTCACATATGTATACTGTACGTGCCACAGACATAATATCCATGCCTTCTTTTCACTGTAGTGACTCTTTGCACTAGAAGAGTGCCTTAGAGTATGCCTGAAAATGTGTTATTACAATCTTTGTGAGTCACTTGTGTTGTCTGTCTTTGTTTTCTGTAGGAATACCAAGCAATTGCTCATATAATAGATAAAAATGCCACTCTTACAGTTATACGTTTATATTTCTGGTTAATTCCTGAAATGATGCACTGTAAATTATTCTTGTATTTTATCCCTTCCAAGTCCAAACAAAGTGGAATTTATTAGCATATGTATTCCATAAAGATCTTCTCTTAATAAGCTATGATAATATTTCAATAAGATAAACATGGTTTTAATCTGATCTAAATATAGTAATGAAAGCCATGGAAAATGTGTCTTAATGAGGTCTGAGAACAGAGTCTTTCAGAATACAGAGACATAAACTGTGAGGTTTTTCAGAAATCAGCTAGAAGTTCTCACCATATTTCAAGCACATGTTGGAATTACACAGGTTATCACAGTCTTGTCTTCTTTGGTTTGTTTCCATTTAATTGCTCAGTATGTACAACTTTATTCTCACATGGCATTTATTTTCTCCTAGCTTCTCCCGGACCAGCTGGTCTTACTTCTGGAGTCTCTCTTGGAGGAGAAGACTTTATGTCCTAGAACACTGCAATGCTTAGAGGAAACGTACAAGCTCCATGAGCAGGATGCAGAGGTAAATCACTAAAAAGAATCACCCCAAAATGAGTAATTGTGTTGTCGACTAGGAGTAATAGTATTGCACTAGGATCCAGACTCATTTGAATCCCTTTTTCCTTGTCTAAAACTAAAACTGCATATACTTAATTTCAGTATTGTTGCATCTTCAGATGCCTTAGTTACTCAATATTTCTGCCTGCCTGCCTGCCTGCCTGCCTGCCTGCATCTATGTGTGTACATGTGTGCACGTGTGCGTGTGTGTGTGTGTTGTGTAGGTCCAGATGTGTTTGCATGCTATAGGGAGACAATGCAGCATAGATTTTATATATAATTTTACATATACCTTAAGCAGCACATTCATTCAAGTGTTAAACTTCTCACTGTGGAATGCTGACTCTATATTTAGAACTCAATTCATTTTAGTTATGTGTATTGCCTCCAAATGCAACCAAGTGTCTGTTTTGGTCTAAAATTCTTCTACATGGTCAGCCCCTATTGTTTCTCTTTAGAGAGCTCCAAAGTCTTATTCAGGATTTAGAAAAGTCTGCCTTCCACAGAGAGTACAGTATGTTCTGCTTTTGGGCACGAGTTTCAAGAAGGAATCAGTTCTTTACAATTGCAGCTAGTAAGTGCCAGAAAGGTTAACAGTCACGTAGGAAAATACAGTTTTATATGATACTGTATATGTGGCTTCCCCAACACAGATGTCTATGAGACTAGCATCCCTGTTCCAAAGGGTTTAATGTCTTAAGGGGCCAAAGCAGTAAATCCTTATTACCACACACAGTGCTGGCTATTTGATAGGGTCGCATGGATTTCTCACGCTGGAAGAATTGTGATAATTAAGGCAGCAGAACTTATGGTTGTAGGCACCCTTGCAATGAGTAAGGGTTTGCTTCAAGTAGATAGTATTCAGGAGACGAGATGAGAAGATGAAATCAGTAATGAAAATAGAGGATGTGTAGATGTATAAATAAAAAGGCTAGTTATGAAGGAGCATATAATCAAACTAATGTACAATGAAGGAGCAGAGTAAACTTAACAAGATTCTCGACTTCGATTTAATTAAAAACTACTGCGAAGACTGCAGAAGGTCAGTGTGCATGACTTACCCTGTTATAATTGGAATTTTATAGCAGTAATTAAAATTTAAGGAAAGAGCAAATTCTGTCTTGTTACTCTTACACTGAAATTGCTAGGTGGATGCTTACACTTAGAAATCCAAATACTAATGGCGAGAGCCATATGGCAGAGGTCTTTTTCTCAAAAAAAATGGGCAACATTTCAACTGTTACTGTTTATTGCATCCTTTTATTTTTCTGTTGATACAAGTTTCCAAATGCCAGACTTGTTTTTAATTAGTACTTGAACCAACTTCTCTATTTATAGGAATTAGGATATATTTTAATCGCATCTGAATACCAATGAAATGTCAGAGGTTCTATAACGGGAAGAGGAATAACTAGGGAGGTAGATCAAAGCAATAGCTGTAGTGTTGCTGCTTCATGCCAGTGAACTGTGAGCACCAGGCCACAGGCTTAGGTTGCTTCGGTTTTTCCTTTCTCTTCACATTCATGCCTTTCTTTCTTCTTTGCAATGTCACATAAAGGCACATGAGTGATGTCTCGGATTTTTATCTTTTTTTAAAAGCAAAATTATGGCCTCAGTGAAAGGAGCATAATCTCCATGTTATTTTACAAGGTGAAACCAAGGGCTTAGTGGACCTTGAGAAGTACAACTAAGATAACATTACCATTAGCATTTTACCAGTCATCAGATCACAGTCCTACACAGTCCTTTAAAGTGAGTGGTAGTTTACATGCCCTCACGTACCTGAGGGAGGAACTTTTAATGTCTCTAACTCCAGTGTGTGCAGTGGGGATTTTTCTTGTAATGACCCAGGGACAAAGAACCGCAGTCCAAGCTTCTGGCTGAGCTGTTCATGTCTAAATTTGATTTGTGGAGACATTAATCAGTTATAGTTATCCAGTGGTGTTGCTGGAGTTCAGAAGTTTGTAGTAAGTAAATGTCAGAAATTGATCATCAAAAATTCAGGCATAAAAATTTGCAGGCAGGCTAGTGAAAAAGAAAACGCTGTCGATGTCAGAAGTTTTATTCAGGGATTTTTATAAGTAAGGCTGTCAGTTGTGTTCCATCCGGAAGAGAAGAAATAAGAACATGTTTTCTTATTTTAACAGGTAATGTTTACATTCATATTAATCTTATGCTATGGATTAGCAATGACAGAGCCAGCTATGAGTGACTGTGGTGCACTATGAAGTATATCTGTGGATTTTAAACAAAGTTTGGCACGTAAGAATTGTCCATTAAATGTTGTGTACACCCTTGGGAGTTTGAAGTCTTTCCCTGTATGTATTGGCAGATTAAGCTAAATGACTTTCTTACAGCATCAGAAGGAATATAAAGAATAGTAGTTATATGTTACGATGAGTACCCTTGCAACGGTAGAATGCTCCAGGCTTTGTATTACTAATGTGAAAAAAGTAAAGGGTTTGAATAATCTCACCTTGTCAAGCATGTGTGTTGGGAGGTGGGTTTCTTGTTTTTTGGTTTTTTTTGGTCCTGTCCAAGTACAGCATGGGACATCCTGGTTCCTGTTTCTTGAAGCTCTTATATATATATATATGTTTTTCTGAAATGGCTTTAGTTTGACTTTACAGTTCAACACACTTGGTGTCCTAAAACTGCGTGTGCCTGGCAGCCTCTGCCCCTGCCCTCAGTGATGCACAGGTTTTGTTCTCATTCAGCTAAGACTGCCAACAGCAATATTTGGTACTCCTCACTGCCAGTTAGTACACGCACATCTGGGCTTTCCAGTGCAAGGGCTACACCTCACTTCAGACAGGAGAGGAGAGTTTGCAGCAGGTTATTTGTCTTAGTTTGGTTCCCTTGCACCAGCCAGAAGAGAAGAGAGAAGGTGAGTCAGCCTTTGCCTGGAATCTAAGTGGTGACTAAGCTCCTCAAGGAGAGATCATGCCATATCCGCCCGGGGATTTCCACAGCCCAGAGTGACTCAAGGCAGCTCCCCTCCTCTCTCAAATGGAGACTCACTGCCAGTCTTCTGTAGCTTCAGACATTCATTTAATTTCTTACTTAAGCATTCATTTAAATGCTTCACTCAAAATGTCAGAGGTTAAGTAACATATTTCTGATTCATAATCAAAACCATGTATTTTTGTGATGGCAGCCTTTGAGCCTCTAGGGCTAGAGGTGAGATGCTGGTCGTCTAACCACATTTCACACTGGCCTGCCCCCAGCCTTGGATGCCACAGGAGGCTTGTAGGGCATCTGCATAGCAGCACAATTTGCGGCTCACTCCTGTTTGTTCAGTCCACTTCTGTAACAAATCATGAGTTCACTGTTTACCGTTCAAACCTTGGAACTTCTGAGAAAGCACAAAACTATACATATATTTTCCAGAGGTAAGTTCACTGACATGAATTATTTGAATTGAGCATATCCCAATATATCCTTAAATAACATTTTGAGAGCAATGGAGTTTTCAAAGTTTAAAGCCGCTTCTTCATCAGTTCTCAATGTCCCGAGCCTATCATGTCTCTGACTTTGTCAGACAAGTCGGAGGCAATTGCATGGAAGAATGATCGTGTCCTTTGTTTCTTCTTCCTATTCCCTCTTTTCTTGCTCTGCTGCTTTCTGCTACATAATAAGATAGTTCATAGACAGGCTACATCTCCTGTGATATATACTACATCTCCTGTGTCCAAGAGAGGCATTATAGAAATTGGCTGGCTGCAGTTAATCAAAGATGATGAAGTACAGGTGGAAGTGTAGCTGACTGAGGAGAACTGGGATATTTTATAAAGAAACTATAGTTGCCGTCAGACCCTGTAGTAAGATAACAGAATCAAAGGTAGGTGGGTAGTAGAGGGGGCTGGGTGGTTGGTTCGTCTGAGGTGGCTATTTTATACAGACAGTTAATCTGTTCAAAATCTAGCTGCTGACAGAACCTAGAGAATTGGTCACCTTGGAAATTGGTCTCTTTTGTGATCACTAATGTTTTTAAGTCCTCTCAATGTTGGTAACACCTCTTTTAATATGATTATGCAAGCTTATCATGTTTTAGCATAGTCTGTTGAGGACTTATATTTAAAAAGAAATGGAATCAGTTCGTTACAAATATCTAAAGACAACACTGACAGCTCTGGATAACAAACAGTGACTCTGTAACTAGCAACCCTATTGTTATGTCCATTATTGGCTCTCTAAAATCTTCATTTTGGTCAGGGAGCGGCCTATAATATAGAACACACAAGATTACAGGGTGTGCAGGTAGCCTGCAGAACAGTAACAAAAGTGACAGGAAAAAAGTCGCTACGATAGCCATAGAAGAGTGGCAATACATGTATGTGAATCTTTGAGTCCTCTTTTAGTCTTGACAATATTTCTGCAAGTGTTTTCGCTGAATTAAGTAAGACCTAATGATAAAATGTATGGAGTGAGGATGAAGCAGAAAGATTTATGATGCATTTCCCCAGTATTTTCACAGCAGAGTTAGCTTCTCTTTCCTTCCTACTGTAGGCATCACTTTTTTTTTTTTTTTTCATAAAATATTTTGCCTGCACAGCATATGGAAAGCTGCTTTGTTAGATTTCCTTTTCACAGCAAATTGACTGAAATGCTCTTCACTTTCATAATGCTTTCCCTGTATTCAAGATCATAACATAGTATATTTTGGGGAGAGGAAAAGGGGAGAGACTATAACTATTTTTGCAGAAAATGTGAGTAAAATGAGTTAAGATCATAATATCGTAAGTCATGTGGGTGGCATAAAGCCATTCTCACACAACTACTTCATTGTGCTTGAGGTCTGCCTATGAGATTGAGGCTATAAAGTGGTGGCATCTTATTTCACGGACAGAAATCCAGTCATGCTAATACAAGCCGTACAAGGTGCCTGGTGTCTACTTAAAGTAGTGAGAATTGTGTTTAGAGCAAAATAACTTCAATTCATTGATCTTTCCTAGCCCATGAAGTACAAACGAACTGCAATGCAATATCTCTCTTGCTGCTTCCCATTTGATAGTCACTGGAATAAGTTAAGCACATTCTTGTGCTGTATTATTCAGTGGTCCTGCAGATTGTCATTACGCATTGTTAGAAGGCGCCCTTACGGAACAACGCTCTCTGGAGTATAGTGTAAAACTGGATGGAAAAGAGAGCTGTCAGGGAAAGGTCAGTCCATGCTAACAGGCAGAAAAGGCACTTGGTGAGCTCTCTGTTGAGCACAGCCACTGGGCTAGTGCTCCCTCACAGTATGTGCTTGGGGCAGGGACTCAGGAGCAATCTCCAGCTTTTGAATAAAACTAGTAATGTGTTGCAAATATTTCCACAGGCTGGCCAGGCCTTCTTAGCTGGGCTGTGGAGAAACAGGGAGGTGGGTTTCAGATAGTGTC